CAGTCCTAAACTAAGTGGAAGAGCTGATAAATATTTTTCTTTGGCTTTCTTTATCATTGTTCCTTTTGGTACATTTCTAGAACTCCCCTAGGTCCTAACACACAGCTATCTTCCCACTGACATTGTGTCTGGAGGTCTGTGTCTGTGGTGTCAATGGCAGAGTTCACTAGAATAGTAGTAGCCTACAGCCATGGAAAGGCAGCTAGGTGGCACAGTGGATAGAACGCCAGTTCTATCTGAGTCAGGAAGATCTGAATTCAAATTTGGCCTCAGACACTAGCTGTGTGACCCTGGGCAAGTCACTTCACCCTGTTTGCCTCAGTTTCCTCATCTGTAAAATAAGCTGCAGAAGGAAATGGCAAACAACTAGTAAGTAGCTAGGTTGGGATCTAAACCTAAACTCTCCGATTCTCAATCCAGTGTTCATTCCACCACATCTCCCCTTCAGAAAAGGAGATCCTAGCCACATCCATGGTGCATTCCTCAGTGGCCCTGTCCAATAACTATAATACTTCAAGGATCTCTCATTTCGTCCATGTAGATATTCTCCCCAACGATGGATTGCTATCCTTCCATAACCTGAACAGTCTTCAAGTATCTTTGTCAAGAAACCCCCATAATGGGGTCATGAAGAGTGGGACACAACTGAAATGAACAACAACAGCAGCTATGGAAATGCCTGTATCAGGAGAGCATTGATCCTCTGGGGACAGACAGATGTGGAGTCACCCAAGCATGATGGCAGCTTCAGAGAACAAGACCCCTGGTAAAGGAGAGAAGTTCCAGCTATGGATTCAAGAAGGGCTTGGATCCTGGGGACCCAGCTGAGCAGCCCACCCAGCAGAGAACTACACACAGGGGGAGCTTCCTAAAGATTCAACAAGAGAGACAAGGACTTGTACAGAATCTGTTCTTGGCATGTGGCTCACTAACATCAGACTTGAAGTCTAAGGCTGCTCTCTCTCCTGGATGTTGTATCTGCAGGAGAGCGTGCCCCAGGTTTGGGGGGATGTGTTTTATGTGAAGTATTTTTACAGTACCATCTCAACAAATGCTGTTTCTAAAAGTTAATAGAGGCTATTGGCTGATTATGAATGGAGAGCACTCTGGTGGAGGTTTAGTAGCCACAGGAAAGAAGCATAACTCATCAGGATTTCCCTTAGAACCCTGAGACAAAGAGTAGTAGTCAATCACTTCTTCTTGTGACCCAACTTCCCCATGTGAGTTCCATTTTGGGTAAGTAAGCCCAGAGAGGGTGTTCCATCTAAAGTGTACTTATCTTCTCCACCTCACCCCCCCCACCCCCGAAATTGTTAAGCTCCTGGATGCAGGAGGTTTTCTGTTGTTTTTTGTATCCCTGGTGCTTAGCACAGTTCTTGGCACTTAGTGGGGTGATTAATAAAAGCTTTCTGGTTGATTGATTGGTGGATTGACTACCTGCAATACCTATTTTGACAAAAGCATTTTTTAACTTTCAAAGCACTATATAAATGAGGCTTAAATCTTGCTTTTTACAATTGTAGCTCAAGGTTTCCTCCTTCAGGAAGTCTTTCCAGATTCATACTCCTCTATTCTCCAAATGACCAGTGCTATCTCTGATCTTGTCCCACTTCCCAAACCATTCTCACCACAACCATTTTTATGTATTTCTATTGATGTTCTAAATGTTGGCTTATTCTCCCTCATTAAACCATGAGCTCCCTAAAGGCCAAAAACCATGCCTCGTCTTGACTCTGTGCACTAGTACACAGGCTATTATTATGTTCCCTGTGACCATTCAATAAAAATTTGGATTGGATTATCGGATATTGGATTATTGGGTAAATGAGGATAGACTACAGGAAGAACTTCCTAACCTTCACTAGAGGAACACTAGAATGGGGGAGTCAAGCAAGTATTAGTCTCTACTTTCCTGGAGAGCTCTAAGGGTTCTAAGAGACCTTCCATAATAAATGTCTTGAGTTGAATTGAATTGAATATGGCATCTCAAGAGCACAGCCAACCTTAGGAGACTGTTTTTCTCTCCTCTAGGAAATGGGGCCAGGTCCATGCAAATGTGGCCTTGTGAGGAGTTTGATTTCTTCTGCCCAAGCCCCTGGCACAGTCATGCCAACTTGAGCTGCCCCTTGGCAAGAGAGATAGGGATAGGCAAGCAGCTCCAGGCTCAAATGACAGGGTTGTGGCCAGGAGGCGTGGATGGGGAGTGGGGCTTTAATAGCCTCCCTGATGCCAATCTTGGGCTGAAAACCCGATATTTCCACTTAGAACAACAAGAAACATGAAGAAGGTGGGGCACTGGTTTGGGGAATGGGGTGGGGAGGGGATGTATCTGGAGTGCCCCCTGCAGATCACATCCATAGGTGCCAGGATGGAGGCAGAAGACAATTCATTCAAATGTTTAATGAAATGCCTACTTCGTGAAAGGCCTTGACCATGTGCTGGGGATATCCTGACCTCAAGGATCTTATAATTCCCTCAACAGAATTGGTTGTAATACAGAACAGAATATACTAGGTACATAACCCATTCCAGATCATGTAGGATCAGAGGTTGGACAATCTTGTCCAAACCCTCATTTGACAGATGAGGATACAAAGGACCAATGACTTATTTAAGGGCAAACAACTGGTAAGTAGCTGGATTGGCATCTAAACCTAAACCCTCTGATTCTTAATCTAGTGCTCATTCCACCACATCTCCCCTTCAGAAAAGGAAATCCTAACCATATCCACGGTGGCATTCCTCAGTGGCCCTGTCCAATGACTATAATACTTCAAGGACCTCTCATTTCATCCATGTAGATACTCTCCCCATCGATAGATTGCTATACTTCTATAACTTGGTAAACAGTCTTCAAGATATATTATGACTGAAAAATTTATCATGCTGCAGTAATGAGGCAGACAGGGAAAGGGGAAAGGAATAAGGATTTACTTAGTGCTTACCACGTGCCAACAGCTATTCTAAGCATTTTAAAAATATTATCTCATCTGATCACAACTCTGCAAGGTAGATGCTATTATTATGCCCATTTTACAGTTGAGGAAACAGGTAAGTAGAGGCTAAGTGACTTGCCCTGGGTCACAAAGCTAGTAAGCATCTAAGGCCAGATTTGAACTCAAGTGTTCCTGACTCCAGGCCCAGCCCTCTATCCACCCAGCTACTAGATAGAATGCAGGACTTGAAATGCAGGAAGACATGAATTCAAATCAGGCTTCTTATACTTCTCATAAATGAGCAAGTCATTTAACCACTCTGTGCCTCAGTTTCCCCATCTGAAAAATGGGGATAATAATAGCACCAACCTTATAGGATCAAATGAGTTAACACATGTAAAGGGCTTTTCAAACCTTAATGTATGATGTAAATGTTGTTGTTGATGATGATAAACCTCCCTGAATCTAGTTAGCAGTGTCATTAAGTAACAGAAATTCAGCCCATTACTAGGCCATACAGTAGAAGCTGCCACCTCTTACATTCTGCTAACACAGCCTTTAAGAAGCCAGGGTTAGATCATCCATGCCACCATGAGGAATCAAAAAGGGACATCAGAGGAAAAACAATAATGGTGAATAACAGCAATGATCTTAATGGCATCTTATGCTGGCATAGCTCTTTTGAGTCACTTCACTGTGGAGCTATTCAGAGAGAATATAAGCTCTGCTGGGCCCTACCAAATTGGAAAGACACTTTGAGTATGGGTCCTGTGAGAGTGTCCACTTGTCATCAAAGGAGGGAAAGGGGGAAGGAAACAAGCATTTGTTAAGCACCTACTAAGTGCCAGGAACAGTGCTAAGAGCTTTATAAATATTATCTCATTCGACCCTCAGACAACCCTGAGAGGTAGGTGCTAATATTATCCCAATTCTACAGATAAGGAAACTAAGGAGGACCAACTTAACTAAATTCAATAGGTTGACCCCCCCCCAGGTGGCTAATTTTTGGGGGAGGGGGTATGCAGAAATTCATTAAATACATAGAAGAGTAATAATAATAATGATGATGATAATAGCTAGCATTTATCTAGTGCTTACTATGTGCCAGGCATTGTGCTAAGCGCTTTACAAATTTTATTTCATTTGATCCTCACAACGCTTGGAGGTGGGTACTATTATTACCCCCATTTTACAGATGAGGAAACTGAGACAAACAAGTTAAGTGACTTGCCCAAAATCACAAAACTAGTAGCTATCCGAGGTCACTTTTGAACTCACCTCTTTTCTGATTTATAAGTGAAGGTACTACCCACACAGATAGAATCATGAGGGTTTTTTTTAAGTATTGCAGTGAACATTTCTACAGTATTATGTATTTTTTTAATGTTTTCATATTATTTTAAGGTGATACCATTGTCCAGTGAATTAGGTGGTATTTCCATTTGACAGAAGAAACTGAGGCCCAAAGAATTTAAGATTATTTATGTGACTCATCCTAGATCTCACAGTTTATTAATGATGAAGCTAAGACTGGAACCCTGAGCCCTTAACTTTCTGCCTCCCAATACTTCCCTAATGCCTGTCCCACTCCTTTCCATCACCCCCAGACTCCCTTTCTCAGTCTCCCCTGAACATTCTTCAGGGTAAAATTGGACTAATACAACCTGAAGAATCTCATGGTTGGTTGGATTCAGTCAGGGAATAGCTCATTTCTCTTGTATCCTTGTAAGGTAAGATACCCCAGCTTCCCCTGTGGGGTGATATCTCTGGTATCCTTAGGAAGCCCAGCCCTGCCCCATCTCCAAACCTATTAGATCCCTCAATTTCACAAAAGGAAAAAAGAGTTTCTGTAGAATGAGCTGACTTCCTTGGTGGTAGAGGGGGGAGTCTAGTGCAAGGAGTGGAGAGGCGGGTGGTAAATATTAGCTAAAAATAACCAAGTGTGTTGATCAGCCTCTAGTGGTACCCAGGATTGGGGGAGAGTAGGGGGAGGGTGGAAGCCGTCGCCTAGGAGGCCACCAGACTGGTTACCGTGGAAACAGGCAGGAGCAGGGGAGCCTGGGAAGTTAGGATGACACAGATAGCAAGTCCTGGTCGGAGCTGCCGCTAAATTTAGGAAAAACAGTGCTGTCCTCGACTTCCAATCTCCGGGGGGGGGCCACCCTGGGGGGGAGGTGTCAGGGGCATGGACACCACCCCCTGGGGGGCCCTGCTGCTATCTCCTCTGCTCCCCATGCACTGTGAGTTGAGTTGTGGAGGGGGGATTCAGGGTCTGGGGGCCCTGATTTCTGTGGCAGTAGGGAGGATGGGATGAGGGATGAGGGGTCTGGCTCCCTCAAATTCTCTTCAGACCACCTTGTGGATGGTTACTTCCCCAATACTCATATACTCCATTCCCTGTGGTGGTTTTGGGAGGGGGAAGTAATACCAAGGGGGACTGAAAGACTGAGGACCTTTGGGAATAGGGAAGACGAGAACCCACAGAAGATAAGGTAGGGTGGGGTGGGGAGGAATGCAAGGAGAGGCTGGGCAGATCCTGGGATTAAAAGTGTCATTTGGGATCTGTCCACTCCTACAAAGGAAAGGGAAACCCCTCTTCACTTTAACTGGAAGAAAGGGGTTAAGATGGGGTAAGAATGGGAGGAGGGTCAGCCCTAGTTCTGGAATAATGGGTGAGGGGAAAAGGTTACTACAGAGGCAGCTGAATGCTTGGATTTCGTCTTAGTCCTAAGCAGGAGGGCCATCTAGCAGACAAGATGAGAGAAAGGATACCTGGGACCCTAGTGAGGCTAGACCACTTCGAGGGGTGCCAGGGGCTTGTGGGCCAGCTGGATTGTTGTTTAAGTAACCTAGGGCCTCTGAGTTGGCAAATGCTTAGAAATCACTCCAGGAGGACAACTCCAGCCGCAGTGGAGGAAAAAGGAGGTCAGTGATGGGAGGAGGGGGGAGAGGGAAGGAATTGTTTGTTACCACCCTGTTCAAAGTTGGGGTAATACTATACTCTGTGATTAGAATGGTGTTCTCTGAGCTTTCCTGGAGAATCTATCTAGGCATAGTCTGCCCCCTAAGACCTGAAACCTTTTTCAGGTTCTCCTCTTACAGAGAATATGGCTGCAGCAACTCTAGGGCCTGGAGTTAACAAATCTATGCAATTTTTCTGGCCAGACTCTAAAGCCAATAGTGACCTTCTGTCAGTCCCTCTTCCCCCAACTCCTCTTCCCACTCTGTAATATCCCTCTTTCCTGTTATGTCCACCCTATTTCATTCTGTTCTGTATATTCTCCAATTATTAACTTAAGCTGGGGACTCCGGGGTGAATTGGGGATGTAGTACAGTTCAAATTTCAGGTGCCAATTGCTGGGAGAGATCTTTTATGATGGGGAAAAGGAAAGGAGAAGAGGTAGCAGGACCAATAAGGGTGAGCTTCTTGGAAAAGGCCAAAATTAGGGAAGGAGAAAGGGTGGGTCAATCAATGTGAGATTGGAGGTGACGTTAGGAGGGATGAGGAGGAAGGGACTGAAGAGTTTGGGATGTGTACTAGAGCTTTGCTTAATCTGACCTAATACATTTTTTTCTAATGGAGAAATTGAGGCACATTGGGAGACAGAACCCACCAACAACTCTCCCGGAGGTGCAAGTCCAGCCTCTTCTAATCTCAGTTCTGTTGCTTTTGTCCCCTTTCTTCTTGGGACCCTCTTGGCCTGAGGGAGGGCACTTCTTTCTTCCTTGTCTTTCAATGACTTCTGAGAACAGAAGCAAGAGGAAATTGGGCTGACCTTGCGACAGAGAGGATCATGGTTAGCCCTCAGTTAGAATTTCTAGGTGGGGCTTCCTAACACATAAAGCTTCCACTCATTTTCCAAACTCAGAGTTCCTTTTTTGCCTCCCTAGAGATGCAAAATAGTATTAGTGGAAAGAGTACTGAATTTAAAGTCAGAAAATGAGTTTGAGGCAGAACTAGCTATGACTACAGAGAAGTCACCTCACCTCTCTGACCTTCAGTTTCATCATCTGTAAAAGAGGGACAAAAAATTTGCATCACATTCCCTGCAGGCTTATTGCAAGGGAAGAACTTTGTAAACCATAAAAGTGCCAAATAAATAAGTGCTATTATTATCTCCTTGTGGGGGCAGAGAAGAATGGGGGAACTGAGGTGAGAAGGATAGAAAGGGGAAAGACTCATTTTTAGTTATTTCCAGAGTAAAGGGAAAGGAGAACTGGGAAGGCATGGGGGGGGCAGGAGTGGCCTGAAATGATCCATGGAGGAGCATGTTATGGGTTCTGGACAGGGTAAAATGGCAATCGGGTAATTCATAGTAGAGGGAGAATAGGGACTATTAGTAAAGTGAAATGCATAGAGCTCTGGGTTAGGATGCTGGTACCCTGAATTCCCTTGGGACTAAAGAATGGTCAAATAAATGTAATTCAAACCACAAACATTTATTTTAAATATAATAACTGACATGGATACAAGCACTTTAGTGTTGGCAAAGTGCCTTGCATATTACTTTCTCTCGTTTGATTCTCACAACTCTGTGAGGTAGGTAGCACTGGTACCCCATCCTCCTTTCAACAATGTGCAGAAAGGACACTATTTGAGGTGTTGGGAATACAAAGACAAAAACATGGACAGTCTTTGTCCTCAAGGATCCTACTCTTAGAGCTGGAAGGGACTTTGGAGTTCATCTAGTCAAACCCATCATTTGACAGATGAGAAGCCTGAGGCCCAGAGAGGTGAAGTCAGTGTCACCTTGCCCAAGGTGACAGAGGTAACAGTGGGCAGGGCGGGGACTGCAAGTCAGGTCCCCTAATTCTAAGTCCAAATGCATTCGGCCTTTCCAGACAGGGCCACTGGGGAGGTGAAGGTGGAAGGGGGCTCCCTCGGCCTCAGTCTCCTGGGCCCTTCCTCTAACCCCGCACTGTCCCTCCATCCCCGCAGCCTCCGAGGGGCGTCGCTGCTGACATGGCTCAGGAAAACTCGGCCTTCTCCCCTGGGCCCGAGGAGCCGCCCGGGGGTCTCCCCCGCGCCCTGGCGACGCGCGCCGCGCCCCGAGAGCCTCCGGAGAGGCCGCCCCGACGGGGCCGTCAGCGCTACGTGGAGAAGGACGGCAAGTGCAACGTGCAGCAGGGCAACGTGCGGGAGACGTACCGCTACCTGACGGACATCTTCACCACGCTGGTGGACCTGCAGTGGCGGCTCAGCCTGCTCTTTTTCGTGCTAGCCTATGCGCTCACCTGGCTCTTTTTCGGCGCCATCTGGTGGCTAATCGCCTACGGCCGAGGGGATCTGGAGCACCTAGAGGACACGACGTGGACGCCGTGCGTGAACAACCTCAACGGCTTCGTGGCCGCTTTCCTCTTCTCCATAGAAACCGAGACCACCATCGGCTACGGGCACCGCGTCATCACGGACCAGTGCCCCGAGGGCATCGCGCTGCTGCTGCTGCAGGCCATCTTGGGTTCCATGGTCAACGCCTTCATGGTGGGCTGCATGTTCGTCAAGATCTCGCAGCCCAACAAGCGCGCAGCCACGCTCGTCTTTTCCTCGCACGCCGTGGTGTCTCTGCGCGACGGGCGCCTGTGCCTCATGTTCCGCGTGGGCGACTTGCGCTCGTCTCACATCGTGGAAGCCTCCATCCGCGCCAAGCTCATCCGTTCGCGCCAGACGCTCGAGGGCGAGTTCATCCCCCTGCACCAGACCGACCTCAGCGTCGGCTTCGACACGGGCGATGACCGCCTCTTTCTCGTCTCGCCCCTGGTCATCAGCCACGAGATAGATGCCTCCAGCCCCTTCTGGGAGGCGTCACGCCGTGCCCTCGAGAGGGACGACTTCGAGATCGTGGTGATCCTTGAGGGCATGGTGGAGGCCACTGGTGCGGGGACTGGGGCATGGAAGAAAGGGACGGGGGGGGCATGGCGTGGTGGAGGTGAGGAGTGTCAGGGAGAAGGGAGACAGAGTGGGAAAGGGGGCCAGCACCCCTGGTGGGAGAAGAGAGGGCAACGGCATGCTTAGAGGGGATGATAGGCATTCTTATGGGTGCATTGAAAGGAAGACAGCTTGGACAGTGAGGTCAAGGAGGGGGTAATGCCCTCTGGCAGGTGGGCAGGAGCTTGGAGGGCAAGGGAGGCAGGAGGCCATAGACCTAAGAGATTGATGGAAAATTGTTCCAAAGTAGACAGAGACATGGAGAGAGCTGCCCTAAAGTCTGAGGAATAGAGTGGAAGATGGAGAATGGTGTAGAACACCTTGTGTGAGAGGCTTGAAGGATGGGGAGGGAGACACAATATCTTAGAGTTGGAAGGGACCTGAGAGGTTGTGCTATACTTGAACAGGAATCTTTGCAGCAAACCTAGTGGTAAAAACAAGCAAGCAAGCCTCATCACCTCCTGAGTCAGCCCATTTCACTTTGGGGCAGCTCAAACTGTTAAGAAATTTTGCCTTATTTGGACCTGAAATCTATCTCTTTGCCCCTTCTACCTTTTGTCCCTAGTATTGGCCTCTGGAATCAAGCAGAAAAGTCTAATCCTTCTCTGGTATAACCCCTCAGACATCCAAAGAAAGCTATCACATCTTTCTCAGTCTTCTCTTCTCCAAGCTAAATGTTCCCAGATCCTAGGAAGACTTAATCTCCAGTCTTGTTACCACCCTTTAGACACTTTCAAGCTTATCAATGTCCTTCCTAAATTATGGCACCCAAAATTAAACACAATATCCCAAATACAGTCTGACTAGGTCAGAGTACAGCAGAATTATCACCTTTGCTCTGTATTCTGTGCCTCTCAACACAGCCTAAGAATGCATTTGCTTTTTTAGCTACAGAAAACAGACAGGTGTCTGGGAGACAGGGGAAGTACAAAGGTAGGGGAATGCATGAACAAAGTCACACAACAGAAAAAGGGATTGGGGATGCTAGAAGGTGGGGAATGTTAAGTTGGATCACTCTGAGGTTGGGAGGTTTGTAGGGAATTAGAGCCAGGTAGCTGGGGGAGGAAAGAAACATGACCAGAAAGCTAGAACAGAAGAGCAGGAGCTGAGGAGGCAATGGGAGAATGGGAGAAGGGTAATTAAGTGAGTAGAAGGATGGGGATAAGGGAATAGGAGCTTGGGGGTGAGGGACAAATGACTGAGTGCCAGGATATGGGGGAGATATGGAGATGGAGGTATTAGTTGTTGGAGCAAAGAAATGCTTTGCTTCTGTGTCAGTACTTTTAAAGGATCCTCTCTAACAGCCATCCCACCTATTTGACTCTCCTTCTCAGTCTCCCAGAGAGTGGAGGCTGTTGGAAAGGAGCTTAAGGTCAGCAGAGAATGGTACTCTCATTGAAGAATTGTAGGCTGAAACACCTCCTACCCCCAAGATAGTGGGGCTCTGTAATTGCTATGGAGTGGTCTCAGAGCTTCTGCTGCCTCCTGGTGGTCTCTCCCTGATAAACAGCTGTCTAAGAATCAACATTTTTAGCACTGCAAGGTTTTAAAATCTCTTTCTTCCAGTATTTCCAATAGCCCCAATCCCATTCCTTTACTATCTTCCCATCATCCCTAGTATACCTCTGTGTCACCACTCCATTCTTTTCTCTTCTCTTCTTAGTGCTTCCTGAGCCACTGCTCCACCTGCCCTTCCCTCGTCATCTCCCAAATACCTATACCTCTCTCCACACTGCCCCAACCCAATTCCAATAGTACTTCGTATTCTACAATCCATCGTGGGAAAAATAAAATCTCATTATACCCAAAGATGTCTCACGCAATGGGTCACAGTGTTGAGAGGCAAACTAGTTTTCTGTGGCAGATCTATAGGGGAGAAAGGTCCAGCTTTCCTGACCTTACTTACTAGTACCAATGTATTGTGGTCAATTCCAGGCACCATACTTTAAAAAACGATGTTGGCAAAGTAAAGTATGTCCAAAGGGATATAATGAAGTTGATGAGATTTTAAAACCTTGTCACAGGAGGAATAATTGAAGAAATGGGGATTGTTTGATGTGGAAATGACTAAAGACACGTAAGAGCTGACTTCAAATCTATGTATGACTGTGGAAGAGAATAGACTCATTCTCTGCTGCTCCAGAAGGCAGAACTAGCAAGAGTAAACAGGTAGGAAATATAGGGAAACATATCTCGGCTCAACAAACTATGGATTGACCAGCAATTAGAGCTGTCCAACAGTGGAACAGGTTTTTTTCTCAAAGGACTATAATTGGCATTATTGGTAAAGTTTAAGCAGTGATTAAGTGTTCCATCTCAGTGCTGAGGAAGACCTTGAAAAGCTAATCACTGCATCATAGGAACTAAAAATTGTAAAGGGTTTCAAAGGCTATCTCGTCTAACCCATACTTGACTGAGAATTCCCTTAATAGTATCATTTGCAAATAGTTATTCAGCTTTTGGGAGGCTTCCAGTAATGAAGAATCCAATTAGCCAGTCAAAAAGCATTTATTAAACACCTACCGTAAGAGAGGCAAGATGAGAGGCAATGTGGCATAGTGGAGAGATAACAAGCCTTGGAGTCAGGAAAACCTGATTTCAAGTCCTATCAGGTGTGTGACTATGGGCAAGTCACTCCAGCTCTTAGTGTTGTAATCAACTCTCTAAGACTGTAACTGCCTGGCCATTTCCAAATCATGCTTCCTGTGTTCTGTCCATCTTCCTTATCCCCTTCTCATTTGTACCTGGACTCTGCTGCTGGGACTCAGCTCTGATAGGAGACCTTTTGCTTTATCTTGTCTGGAACCAGGCCTCCACTTCATTTTTCAATCATTTTTAAACCATGCCACAACTCACACACCCTTCTCCCTTTCTTTCTTCCTTGCCTTTATATGTTGTCTTTCCCCATTAGGATGTAACCTCCTTAAATTTATTCTCTCTGGTCCTACAGAGCTAAACTGGATCATTGGGTTAAAATTACAAATAATCAGGTTATGCGTGATGTAAGGGAAAAATTCCTAACAATTGGATCTATTAAAAAATGGAATGTGCTACCTCTTTCGTTAGTGGATTTCCCTTTATTTGAAATCTTCGAGCACAGATTGGATGACGACTACTTGTGGGTTATTCTGTACAGGGAATTCCTATGCAAGGATGAGTTGAACTAAATGTACCCTGAGGTTCCTTCCAACCCTGAAATTCTGTGATTATATTGTGAAGTTCATAATAAAGACAAAGAACAGATTTAGGAACATGGAGGGAGTGACGGAAGAACAGAAGGATTTGAACAGAAAAGGGAATTTCAGAGTTCAGGATCACAAAAGTTTTAAATGATCGTGAATCTGGTCTATGACCACTGGCATGGGTAACTGAGGTAGAGGAAAGATACAGTCTGTAGAAGTTGAGGAGGCTGATGATCAGGAGGCCAGACTGTTCAAAGAGGCATCAACTTAAAGTCCCCAATTATGAGGTTGGGAGTGGGGGAGGAGTGTTAGTATGCCGGTTGTAAGGGCCAGGAGCCAAGTCATCAAGGTCTGTTGACTTGCTGTTTTTCCTTTTCTTCAAAGAGGACCAGTGATAGCACAGTGTCATGTCTTGACTTGCATGTGAATTGGATTTAAGCGAGGCAGAATTGCTCAATGTTGACTTGAACTCACTGGGGGCAGCCAAATATTGTATTGTCAACTCCTCAACTAGCTTGGCTTTCCATTTGCTGCTAGTCATTTTTATTCTGTCTTTCCTAGTCCAAGGATCCTTCCCCTTGGAAGATTAAACAGAAATAATATGAGTGGAATAGTTTGGCCTTATTGCTACCATCAATCCTAATACTTTCATCACTCAAAGCAATAGTTATATCTTTTCTTTGATCTTCCTCACAGCCCCTCCCCCACAATTTAGAGAAAATAAAAACAAACAAAAAATCCTTGAGCGGTAGAATAACATAACAATTAGGGTACCAGATTTAGGGTCAGGAGTCTTCTGGTTTTGCTTCCTTTACTCTGCAACAGTTCATTTAAGTAATGCCAGGCTTCACTGAAACCACCTCTTTCATCATTTCTTATGACATAATAGTATTCCAGTTTGGTCAGTCATTCCTCAGTTGATGGGCATCCTCTTGCCTTCCAGTTCTTTGCTTCTACGAAAAAATAACTGTTATAAATGTTTCTGTGCATATGGAGCCTTTTCCTCTTTCCTGGATCTCTTTGTGGGGGTAGGCCTACTAGTGGTATTGCTGGATCAGAGAATATGTACAGTTTAATTACTTTGAGGGCATAGCTCCAAATTGCTTTTCAGAATGACTGGACCAATTCGAAGCTTCATCAATAGGGCATTAATGTGCCTGTTTTCCTGCAGGCCCTCCAACATTTGTCAGTCTAATATGGGTGAGGCCCAAGCCCAGCATTGCTTTAATTTGCATTTCTTTAGTCATGATTTGAATTATGTTTCCATCTAGGCTATTGATAGCTTGAATTTCTTCCTTTGAAAACTGCCTGTTCGTATCCTTTGACCATTTATCAATGGTAATACGTCTTCTTTAACGTAATTTCCACTGATGAAATCATGTTTCTGTTACTGAGCCATTTGACAGTGCCAAGGGCTTTCTGATGAGAACTTTCTTCTTCTCATCTTCAATAACTGTACCTGCTAAAGGAAGCAGGTCTCCATTATCTGTAGAAGCAGTTGCCAGGACTCATCCCCAGAGGAATTGCTTCCCAGGATGTTGGTGTCAGGGGGTAGGCTGCTGGTTTGGAAGGTGCTCTGCATTGCCTGTGCTCTTGGGTTTACATGTGTGTTGCTAACAGTTGGTCAGCAGTTGGTGAAGAAGGTGGGCCCTTTCTTCGTAGTGATTGCTCCCCTCAGTGTAAGGCCCTGGCTAGAAGCAAGGCCTGGGGTTTGGAGGCACTGTTCTTCCCAAGGCTCTTGGGTTCAGGGGACTGGGATATCTTTGTCAGGCTTTGAGGGAGGTGATGATTAGAGTGGTGACAGTGCTTTGACTTGCCTGGCACATACTGCCTCCTGTCTTTCCCTCAGGGTACCTTGCTGCTTCGGTTGGTTAGCTTGCCTGCCTTGTAGATGGCATTTGCTAGGGATGGCTGTCCTCTTTTCCACAAGAGCTAGTTCCTCTTATAATAGCTTCAAGAACTGGGCTGGAACAGAGCCATTGATCTGGGGGATGTTGCTATTTCCAGAGCTCTTGGACCTACCTGCCCATTGGTGGCAGATGGTATTGGTAGTGGTAAGGAAGTGACTGCTCCTTTCAATAACAAAAGCTCTTAGGCTTTTAAAGCACATTTGTAAGATATTTTGTGAACCTTAGAGCACTATATTAATGTAAACTATTATTACAGTAATTACTTATGAGGTCTAATTTGCTTCCTTGAAATTAGTATCTCTAACTGCCTCTGATTATTCCCCATTCTTTGTACATTCTTTTGTATTTAGACAACTGAGGTCATGAGTTTTAAGGCTCTATCTCTTTTAAGACACTCTCTCCCATAAATGAGGGCTAGTCGATCAATCAAGCAGCAAATATTTATTAAATGACTATGACTTGCCAGGCAGGTTAGGCCCTCAGAATACAAAGAAAATAATGAACACAGTTCCTGCCCTCAAGGAACTTACATTCTTTTTTTTTTTTTTTGAAATGCAGGAAAGCATTTTAATTGTAAAACTAACTGGGGTTCCAGGCCTGCAGCATGGCTTCCCAAATCCAGGGCCCGGGCTCCTGGAGGACCCCTTTATGGGGCCCAGGGCCAAGAGTTTGTTATGAAATGACAATATAAATAGCTCTTTTTCTTTTTTTAAAGAGGAACTTATATTCTAATGGGGGAGACAACATGTACATATATAAGTTTATACAAAATAAATACAAAGTTATTGAGGGGATGGGGAGGAGCTGTCATGATGAAGAAAGACTTCATGTAAAATGCAGCACTTGATCTGAGCCTAGAAGGAAAACAGAAGTTTTAACGGTGGAAGAGTGAAGGAAGCATTCAGGGCAAAGGGGATGGACAGTGTAAAGACGTGGAAGTAGGGGAGGGAGGGTCAGGGTGAGGTCTAGCAGGAACTTCAGTTTGGCTGGACTACAGGGAGTACTGTACGATAAGGCTGAAAAGATAGTCTGGGGCCAGGTTCTAAAGAGCTTTAAGATTTAGGAAAATAACTTTGTTGACTATGTTGAGAATGGATAGAAGAGAGGCACTCAAGACAGGGACCCCAATTAAGAGGCAGTCCAGTAGTCCATAAGAGAAGTGATGCAACCCTGACCTAAAATGGTGACTATGTGAATGGAGGGAGAGGGACAGATACAAGGAATTGTAGCCATGATGGAATTTCTTTTTTTTTCCCTTTGTTGCATTCTGTTACAGATATAGATATAAGGTAGGTATCCATGGTACTGGGTTCATAACATTTTTGTGGACAGTTCTCTCCTTTTTCTTCCCTTTTCATTTTAAACCCCACTCAATCATGTTCCCAAGACTCCAGGCGAATATGTTTGACTTGTAATATAACTTGTCAGGTATATTTTATCCCGGCCCTAGGACCAAATATTCCTTTGTTGTAGGCAGTGGTCTTTTCTTTTACAGCTAAGAAAGCTGAGGCAATGAGAAGTTAAGTGACTTGATTGCAAAGAATAAACCCCAGACCTCTTATATCTGAAATGAGATGAAGAATAGCAGACAAGATTGTTGTAGAAAAGATAACTGCATTGGGAGAGGTTGTGGACTAAGGGGCTTACAAGGCCTCTTCCATAGGATTTCAATAGCAAATGGACAATTCCTTAGACATCATTCTAGAGAGATGGGAAAGTATGGAGAGGTATGGGGTGGTTAGAAAGGTCAGTAGGGGATGGCTTTCTGGAAGATGAGAATGCTGACCAAAATTTCGACAAAACTGAAAGGATAGGAAAAGGATGGGGGAGGGTGTCCATAGTAAGGTGGGGAAGAGACAAGGCCTGTGTTCACAGGGCTAGAATGAAGATCCTGAGTGCATATGGAAATGTCTCCTTGAGATGAAATAATGTGTTTGGGGATGATAAAAGGAAGGATGGGGTAATGGAGCCCTTGCTTGACCCCTTCTGTTCTCCCCAATTCCCAGGGATGACATGTCAAGCTAGGAGCTCCTATCTGGTGGATGAGGTGCTGTGGGGTCACCGCTTCATGTCCGTACTGAGCCTGGAGGATGGCTTCTACGAGGTGGACTATGCCAGCTTCCACGAGACCTTCGAGGTGCCCACACCCTCCTGCAGTGCCCGAGAGCTGGCTGAGGCTGCTGCCCGGCTTGATGCTCATCTCTACTGGTCCATCCCCAGCCGGCTGGATGAGAAGGTGGAGGAGGAAGGGGCGGGAGAAGGGCCGGGCTGGGGGAATGGAGGAGACAAGGAGAAGAATGGCCGTTTGCCGCCCCCAGAGAGCGAGTCCAAGGTGTAGCTATAGCCGGAGGAGGTAGGATACACCCCTCCCCCACTACCTCCCAACCCCAGTGTCAGACAGATGGCCAGGATCAGGAGAGACAGGACAAATGGTAGCAGAGAGGTCCAGGCATGAAAGAGAAAAAGACTTAAATACCTAGAAAAGGCTAGAAGTTCAGTGGGCCCTTTAGAATTTCAAGTCTAAGATCCACTCTAGAGGGAGAGAGCTGGTGAAGGTATTATTAAGGGTGGGATTGAGAATCCATTTGCCATGGAGATAGGATGAATGGTATAGGAGTTGTGAACCATTGCATTTATGTTTGTTATTAAATCTATTTAAAGATGGACACATATTTGAGTGGCAGAGGGTCAGATCAGTATTTGGATGAGAAGGTAGGGGAAAGAGATATGATCTAATAAATATATGACTGGATGGGGAATTGGGAGTTTTATGAGAGGACGGGTAGAGAAATGGAAGGAGTGATAAGATTAGGATTAGATTAGATTAAGCTATGGAGTGGATTGGTAGTTGTGTGGGAAGCTGAGAGGTTGGGTGGATGGATGGATGGATATCTTGATGGAAGGACAGAGACAGAGAAATACTTGGACATTAGTGGGTAGAGGTGAGTGGCAGAATGGATAGGAATGCTGATGAATGGAAAAATAGAAAGAAGAGAGAGTAATATAGGAACTCCTCCTGCCCCAGCAGGTAAAGCAGAGAGCTCTGAGTTGAAGGTAGAAGAGAAAGAATCAGTGCCTAAGGGGAAGAAAGACTGAGCCATGGGTAGCTGGCTCTTCAGATAGGCATTAAAAAGCTTCTATATTAAGAGAATCATATGTATATACAGATCTGTTTTTTAACTGCTGGTGGGATGGGGTGGTAAGGGCTTGGGGGTGATCCCAACACTGTCAAGTAGCTCCAGTGTAGTTGAGGGTCAGAGCAGGCTATTCCTGGAGAGGACAAGAGAGCATTTGAGTGATCGTGAATATTCAGACAGGGGCTACATAAGCCAGAGCTGAAGAAGGAGGGTCTTCTATCACTTTTGTCACTGATGAGCAAGATGGGAGACGGAGGAAAGAAAGAGCCAATCAATGCTGTTGACTGAGCAGCACCTGGGTGCTGAGCGCTGACCCGGGTGCCTTAGAGAGAGGCAGTAGGACATGAGAAGAACTGGTCCCTATCCTTGCCATCCATTTGGTGAGAAAGAATACACGTGTGCAAAAAACTGGATAGACAACATATCAATCCAGAAAAATCAGTATAGAGACCAAGAGATGAGCAGTGCCAAATAATGAGCATGCCCAAGTTGGGAGAGGGCAGTAGTCTTGGAAGGCACCTTTGCACTGAGTTCTGCAATACTTAAGGATCTGTACCGGTGGGCAAAGAGAGGCTAAAATGATTACTTTGGGTAGAAGGAATGTACAGAGGTCAGGAGGTGGAAATGGGAGCAGACCAGCTTGGTGAACCAGGTGAAATAGGGTCCCTGAGCATGGTAGAGAGGCCGTGAATCTCAGGATTAAGAATTTGGATTCTGCGGAGTTGGTATCAGGGAACCATTGATGGTTTTTCAATAGTTCTTGCTATCTGCCGGGCACTGGGCTTACAAAGAGAAAAATGAAACAGTCCCTGCCTTCATGGAGCTTATGTTCTATTGGAGGGAGACAACAGACATGCACAGAGAAGTAAACAAAAATATAGGGATAAGGACCAGACCAGTGATTTCACTGGAAAGGGGAACTGCTGGCTGAAGAAACTCCCTCTACAATTCCTTTTACCAGTGTAATACTTGGCGCCTTCTCTGCACTTTATAATCTTAGCAAGATCTCTGAACAGATTGAGTGACTTGCCTAAGGCCACTTAGCCAATATATGTCAGAGACGGGACTTGACCTGTCTTCCTAGATTCAAGGCCAGCTCTCTGGCTTTGTTTATACATAGGAAAGGTGCAGCAAGTAGGAAGGGGGAGGGTACAGAGAGAAGCACCAGACAGGGTGGAGAATCATGGAAAGGTATTCCCTAGGACGTGGGGCTTAAGCTAAGCCTTCCAGGTGAGGAAGGGGAAGGAGAAGATTTCAGTAAGGAAGTGGGAGGAGGCAGGGAGTGGAGAGGAAGGAGAGGAACATGGAGGGCAGCCTTTGCAAAGGCAGAGAGACAAGAGAGCAGGATATGCACAGCAAAACAGCAGGGGAGTGACATCGAATTATGATGGAAGTGTGCTTTGGGAAGATTTGTCTGATGATGATTGTGGGATGCATTGAAAGCAAGAGAGAAAGGGGGCAGGGACCTCAGGAGGCAATTAGGAAGCAATTGCAGTAACCCATCCATGAGGGGACTGGAGGAAACAGCATTTCAGTTGGGCTTTTAAAGTTTTAAAGATTGGATTCGAGCGTGGGTTAATACCCTGGGACTGATTCCTCTGAGGAGAGAGGACCTGAATTAGAGTGGTGGCCATGGAAAGGGAGCCTATCTCTTCTAGGAGAAGGATGACCAGGATGGATGGAATAAGAGGAATGAAGCAGAGAAAGATTCAAAGATGACTTTGACTGTGATCGTGGCCTGCTGTCTGTCTGTGCTGCTTGGACTGGGAGGCCCCCCAGAAATAAGCTCCTTTCCACATCCTCTCATGCCCTGCCTGCCCTTCCCACCCTTCTGACCCAGTAATTAAAAGAGCAGAGGCCTATGGGACCAGATCAGGAGTGATAAGGGTGGGGGTAAAGCTCGGATGGTAAGGTGTAATGCAAGAGAGGCAAACGTCTTTAAAGGAAGAAAAAGAAAATATGGCCACTGGCCAAGAGCACCCACACCCTAGTCCTGCCTGCCCTCAAAAGGGAGGAAGGACGTTTATGGAAGTACTGGCTTAATAAGGGCCCTTTGCTTCACAACTGTGACTTCATACTCACTCCTGCTCTTAAATAAACTTACAGCCCCTCTGGGGGGAAGAACTCTAGCTCCATGTCTGGTCTGTTCCAGGCGTGTGTGAGTATGTGTGTGTGTGTGTGTGTGTGTGTGTGTGTGTGTGTGTGTGTGTACAGGGGAGTGGATAGGGCTGGGAATGAGTCTCCCTGGAGGATTGAACAATAGGATTCTCAATGATGGGAGATGCTCAGAGCCAAGCTTCTTTCAGAGAAGGAAATACAGGACATTTAGGGTTCTTTCTAAAGTTATTATCACCATTATTACTACTATTAGTAACAGATGATAATTATTTAGTGCTTAAGGTTTATACCACACCCTACATACATTTTTTTTATTTGATCCTCACAACAAGCTACATGATGTAGATACTATGGGTATTTTTATCCCCATTTTACAAATGGGGAAACTGAGACTCCAAGAACTGAAATGATTTTCCCATGGTCACACAGCTAATAAGTATGAGAGGCAGAGTGGTTGTTTGCCAAATGTGCAGGTGACATAAAATTGGGAGGCAAATTTCATGATATCTGTATCTGGATGATAGAGGCAGGATCCCCAAAGATCCCAGCAGACTAGTATAATGGAGTCAGTCTACTTACTTCAGTAGTGCAAAGACCCATGATATCATCTGGCTGGGCAGACCCTCTGCCATTGCAGATCATGGCACCTTTATATCTGAATGGATGGATTTGGAGAGTTGTTCCACACTCAGAGAATCTCTATAAGCTTGTGGTTAGCCTGGGAATAACTTCCCTGTCACTTAGCTTGGCAGGTCCTCAGACAGAAGACATTGTTAGGCAGTTAAGTGGTACAGTGCAGAGAGCACCAGGCCTGGAGTCAGAAAGACCTGTGTTCAAATCCAGCTTCGGACACTTACTAGCTTTGTGACCCAGGGTAAGTGACTTAACCTCTGCTTGCTTCAGTTTCCCCATCTGTAAAATGAGGATAATAGTAGAACTTACTTCCCAGAGCTGTTGTGAGGCTCAAATGCGATAATAATTGCAAAGCACTTAGCACAGTGCCTGGCACCCAATGAGTGCTGTATAAATGTTAGCTATTATTATCTCCTACCGTGAGGACTGCATCGAAAGCCTTTCAGTCTGGTCAAGATGTTACAGTACCATGATGAAACCTTGGAATGAGACTTTGGCTTATGGGGGAATTATCAAATCAGATGGAATTCACTTGGGATAAATGTAAATTCCTACATTTGGCTTCAAAAAATTCTAGGATAGGATGGGGGAAATCCAGTTCTTAAGAAAAGGTGTGTAAGTTTCAGTGGGTTGCAAGTTCAGTGTATCAATAGCATAACATGGTGGCCAAAAACAAAAAACAAAAAAATATTCCTAGATGACAATACACTGTCCTCCATTCTGGTCAAGTCCTATCTGAAATACTGCATTCCTTTCTGGGTACCATATTTTAGGAAAGACACTGACAAACTAGAATGCCTCCAGAGGATAACTGGGATAACAAGGAAGCCAAAGACCATTGGAAGGAAATAGGATGTTTAGTCTGGCCAAAAAGAAAAAAAAAAGAGGAGACATGATAACTGTTCTCAGGTGTTTGAAGGGTCGTCACATAGAGCAATAGACATTTTGTGCTTAGCCCCAATAGGCATAACTAAAAGCGATGGATGGCCATCACTGAGAGGCAGGTTTCAGTACCATGTAAGGAAAAACTTCCTAACACTTCAAGTCGTCTAAAAATGGAACTGTTCTGCCTTAGGACATGGTTATTTCCCTGTAGCTGGAGGTCTTCAGGCAGAGGCTGGATAGCCACTTGTTGGGGATGTTGTAGAAGGATTCTTGTTCAGGTTAAAATCCCAGGATTCTGAGCTGGAAGGAGCCATTGGGGTCATCTGGGCCAAATCCACATTTGCTCTGCCTGGCACTAGAGGGCAGATGTAGACCCAAAGGTGGAAGCTTTGTAGTCAAGCCCCTTGAGAGCAGGGCTTTTGTGTCCTCCGCACCTAGCATGGTGCCTGGTACGTAGTGCTTAATAAACACTTTTTTGCTTGATATAGAAAAACAAGAGGAGAGCAGGTGAGATTGACTTCAGGAAATTACATTACTCCTTTAATGATCATAAACTTCTGCTAGAAACAAAAGCCCATCTTTCTAATACCAATATTCTATCAGTTTCATGGGTTAATCAATACATCAAGATCATTCAGGATTACTTGGAAGATGCCACAACAGAAATAACCCAGTTTAATAACTCTGTGACAACAAATATGAGTCAAAGCATAACCTGGGGAGACAGACTGTATGCTTATCAAAGGTGTTTGCCGCTATGACGGGGGAGATACAATGCGAAGTTCAAGTCGAGGAAGGATTCCATGTAGATGGTGAAATCCTCCAGATGCTCTTGTTTGTATACGACATGATTCTGATTGCATCAAGCCCAAGGATAACACAGAGATCTGCAAGCACTCGGAGGAGTTTGGTATGTCCAGCCACACAAGGAAGACCAAGTGGATGAAGGATGTCAACATATATTTGGATGGATACCCTACAGAGCATGGGTGTTCTATCATGGCAGTCTGGTAAAGTCCACAGATCCCTTCTCAGAATAATGTTCTTAAATTTAAATTAAATATTAGTTTTCATTTTAAATACATAAAATAAAATACACAGGAATACAAAGGAAAACATTTATATTGAATTGCTTTTGAGGAAATTGCAGAGCTCTTTTACTGACTCCAAGCTTCCCAGGAAAGTAAAGGTCCTTTTTTTCTTTTTAAAACCAGTGACATTTTAGTGGTGTTGCTATAGGAAGCAAGACATGGAACGTAGATGAGTATCACCCAAAGGTCAAAGGAGAAGGGCATAGTAGATGTGAATAGGTTGCAATATATAAACAATGAGGAACTGTGAACAGGAATAAAAGACATCATCAAAGGATTGTATGACAGGAAGAGAAGAGGGACTGGTCATGTGGCAAGAGGAAGGGATGTCCTATGGATAGGACATGTGCTACACTTGTGTCTTCACTTCAGAAGAAAGCCAGGAAGGTCCCCAGTATATTGGGCAGACCCCCGCTGGCAAACAAGTAGAAGGACATGACATGGATAGGAATCTCATAGTATAGGCAGATATGGATGAATTGTGATCTGCGTTGTTGGAGGAAAAATCCTCATGGATGGGATTACAGATAACTTTAAGTACAAGGGAAAAAATCCTCACAGCTATCCAAAAGTGGAATGGCTTGCCCTCATAAGGTGAGATATCACCTTCACTGTAAGCAATATGAAAGCAATTCCTACTCTGGTTAGAGGGTACATGTCTGCTGTCCCTCCCAACACAAAGATTCTGTGATTCTTAGTTCAGGTTCAGTCTGAGAACCATGGTTGTGGAGAGGGCACCAGATTGGGAACTAGAAGAGCAGGTCTGTTTCTGATACTAACTAGTTTTGTGACCTTGAACAAGTTACTTAACTTGTCTATGCTTTGGTTTCCTCATCTCTAAAAGAGGGGTTTGATTAGATGATCTCTTCTGTCATCAGGGAAGTGAGTGGAAACTCACTCCAAAAAAGCAGAGATTCAAGGGACCCTCTGTGTTGCCTGGGAACAGGAAAATCCATTTAGAATGAGCTGTAAGGTAGAGCCATCTGTGAAATTTCCTCAAGAGTTTGAGCAGAGCTAGATGTTTGTGTGTCTGTATAGACAGCAGGAGTAGAAATGTTCATACTCATGCCCACTGTATAATCTAGTTCTCTTTCTTCTCTTTCTTTTTTTTTTTTTAATCTTTTTAGGCAATTGGGATTAAATGACTTGCCCAGGATCACACAGCTAGTAATTGTCAAGTATTTAGTCTGAGGCCAGATTTACACTCAGGTCCTCCTGACTTCAGGGCTGGTGCTCTATCTACTGTGCCACCTAGCTGCCCCTCTTTTCTTTTAAATTTTTCTATTTTTTCTTAAGAAAGGCAAACACATATCTTTTTTATTTATTTATTTTTTTAGTGAGGCAATTGGGGTTAAGTGACTTGCCCAGAGTCACACAGCTAGGAAGTATTATGTGTCTGAGGCCAGATTTGAACTGAGGTCCTCCTGACTCCAGGGCCGGTGTTCTATCCTCTGCACCACCTAGCTGCCCTTAGGTTTCTTTCTTCCATCCCCCCAAGTTACCATCAGTGATTCTTTTCTATTGTTATCACAGGCAGAATGAAGGTCATGAAGGAAGATGGCCTTACATCAGGTCCAGGGTACAGGAGATGGGAACTATGGGGTGGAGAGGGAAGAATTGGAGACTATATAAAAGTAGGGGAACTGCTTCAAGGATTTTCCGTCCCCAAAGGCTGAATGAAGCGGTCAACAGAATTGGGGCAGTTCTTTGATCTCCACTTCCACTTGTATTTGGAGCCCAGTTAAAGTTCACCTGAGCAATAATAGCTCATACAACTGATGTGAAAAAAAAAAAACCAACCTTAATAAACAAACACTGATGTGACTAAGGGGTCCCCTCTTGGCAGAGTGCAAGGGACTGAGGTCAGATGGTATGTGTGATGAAAAGGGGCCTAAATCATCCAGAGGGGGATCTTAAAGAATTTAAAGACCATCAGCCTCAATGGAAAACATAAGGCTTTTCTACAACATCTCTAATAAATGTACATACAGCCTCCACTTTCACACCTCTACTGTGGAGGAACTTGTAACCTCCTGAGGCAACTCATGCTGGGTTTTTTATTCAGCTTTTTTATTTATTTTTTAAAAATAGATTTATTTAATATTTTATTTTCCCCAATTACATTTAAAAACAATTTTTAACATTTTTTTTAAATTTGGGGTTCTAAATTTTCTCCCTTCCTCCTTCCCCACCTTCCCCCCACCTCACATTGAGAAGGCAAGCAATTTGATATAGATTATACAAGTGTAGTCATGCAAAACTTATTTCCGTATTATTCATGTTGTGAAAGAAAACATAGGCCACAAAAAAAGAATGATAAATTTTTTTTAAAATTATGTATCGATCTGCATTCAGCCTCCATCACTTCTTTCCCTGGAGATGATGAGCATTTTTCATCGTAA